CCAGGGGTGATCCTCCAACGGGTTTGTAATTCCCAGGGGTGATCCTCTAATTAGTTTATAATTCCAGTTTATAATTTCAGTCAACTTGGTTTGTCATTTTTACATGTTACTCCCTGATAAACTGATGTGGCTTTCTATAGGAGTGCAGTGCTGACGATATTTGATGGGTGTAATGTTACTGTATTGAGACCAAAACTCTGATATTCTCTGTTTTCTTTTCCATGCCGATTCACCAAACCTAAACCCTGATGGAGAAGCTTTAGGAGCCATTGGTCATGTGACTGAGCAGCTGAAGGATTTGCTTCTCTGGGCACTCCATTACGAGCAAGAGCCTGGCATCCGAATGGAAGCCTGTAACAGTATTGTGTCCCTGAACCTGAACGATGCTAATGTGCAGAATGTTTTAAGAGAGCAGCTTCTGGTTGAGTCTGACCCACTTGTCCGCGAGTAAGTTAACGAACTGCGGCTGTTGGTGCAGTGAGAACTGCGCATAATCCTCCACCTAGTGGACAAGAAAAAGCTTGGTTTCTTTACAACTATGAGGGCCTGGGTTCTTTGTATGACCAGTTGTTCTCGAGCCTTTGTAATGAGTGCGCGGCTAACACTGAGTAGTCGCATATCCTGTGTTTGCTTCTTATGAGATTGTTACAATCAGGAGGAGGACGGAAACTTCTATCCCCTCCTATCTAGCATGTGCTAGATTTGAATCAATCACACAAAGGTGAATAATCAGATCTTTCTATTGTATGGCGGATCTTAGTCATTATGAGCGTTGTGCCTTGTAAAAGATTTGAGAACCGTGTTGTTTCTCAGATCTCATTTTTGTTTGGGGCAAAAATGTAATCATATGCAGCTTTCACGGACTAGAATTCTGACTCAGCATTGTCCTCAGCTTGTCCAGGGAATTTTACTCTGTATAGATACTTAGGAAAGACAGCAGGAAGTTAACACAAAAAAAGAAAAAGTGTGGGAAGCATATTGCTGTTCGACTGTACCAGATGGAGATTCCTACTGTCAGAACAAATGTTGCTTGATATGTCATTTACCTGCTGAAATATGTCACTTTGTTGGAAAAAGAAGACAAAGATTAAAACCGAGATAGTAGGAACTGCTGATGCTGGAGTCTGAGATAACAAGGTGTAGAGCTGGATGAACACAGCAGCCCAGGCAGCATCAGAGGAGCAGAAAAGCTGACGTTTCGGGTCTGGACCCTTGTTCAGAAATGGGGAGGGAAAGTGGACTCTGAAATAAATAGAGAGGTGGGATGAGGCAATGATAGAAGGTGGAGAGAGGAGCAGATAGGTGGAGAGGAGACAGGTCAAGGAGGTGGGGATGGAGCCAGTAAAGGTGAGTGTAGGTAGGGAGTTGAGATGGGGGTTGGTCAGTTGAGGGAAGACAGATCCTCCGTCACTTCCACCACCTGCAATCTGACCTCACTACCAAAGACATTTTTCCCTCCCCACCCTTATCTGCCTTCCGGAGAGACTACTCTCTCCCTGACTCCCTTGTCCGCTCCACACTCCCCACTAGCCCCACCACCCCTGGCACTTTTCCCTACAACCGCAGGAAGTGTTACACCTGCCCCTACATCTACCCCCTCGCCCCCATCCCAGGCCCCAAGAAAACCTTCCACATCAAACAGATGTTCACCTGCACATCCGCTAATGTGGTATATTGTATCCGCTGTTCTCAATGTGGCCTCCTCTACATCGGGGAAACCAAGCGGAGGCTTGGAGACCGCTTTGTGGAACACCTACACTCGGTTCGTGACAAATGACTGCACCTCCCAGTTGTGAACCATTTCAACTACCCTTCCCACTCCTTGGACGACATGTCCATCCTAGGCTTCCTCCAGTGCCACAACGATGCCACCCGAAGGCTGGAGGAACAGCACCTCATATTTCGCTTGGGAACCCTGCAGCCCAATGGTATCAATGTGGACTTTTCAAGCTTCAAAATCTCCCCACCCCCAACCTCATCCCAAAACCAGCCCAGCTCGTCCCTGCCTCCTTGACCTGC